TTCTTCTCTCTCTTCTCTCTCTCTACACGACAACAACAACAAGAATTTAAGTTAGTAAGTACGTACTCCTAACGGAAGTACGGTAGGGTTACGTAACGTAGACAAATATATATATATATATATATATATATATATATATATTATTTATTATTATTATTTATTTATTTATTTATTTTTATTTTTTTTTCTCTCTATCATATGTGTTCCAAGCTCTCTTTCTTCTCTAGTGATCTACTTGATTCCAAAACTCTCTCAATAATTCAAAAACTCTTTCTTGTCTCTAGATTCCAAAACACTCTCTCTCCCTCTCTCTCTCAATAATTCAAAAACTCGTTCTTGTGTCTAGATTCCAAAACACATACTCTTCTGTCTATCAATAATTCCAAAACTCTTTCTTGTCTCTAGATTCCAGAACAGATACACATACATACACGCAGTCTCTCTTTTTAATTCCAAAACTCTTTCTTGTATCTAGATTTCAAAACACTCCCTCTCAATAATTCTAAAACTCATTCTTGTCTCTAGATTCCAAAACTCTCTCTCTCTCTCCATCCAAACCGTTTGGCAACAAAACATTACAATTCCAAAACTCTCTTTCTTGTCCCTAATGATTGCAGAACTCTCTCTCTCTCTCATATGATATTCCATTTTTTTTAAGCCATAAAATATTAGATAAGTGTCTATCAGACCATTTAGCAGAGGCATATATACTTCTGGATGTTTGAGGTGCCAAAATAGATTCCAAAGCAACCAAATTCATGTCCATGCCATCAACAATATAATGCAATTTTCCCTCTCTTCTTTTTTCTTTCAGAGGACCAAAAACTCTATTTCCCAGTTACTTTAATTTGCCTCCCCTTCCTTTTTCCAGATCTCAAAATGTCCCCATGATTGGAAAAATATTCCAAATTCACAAGACAAGACAATATCAGCAAAACGTCTTTGAAAATTCACAAGGCACTCATAGGAAAACTAAATAAATAACAGGAAAAAAAAAAGAAAACTCCAAAAGGTAACGAAAAATATCAGATAAATAACAGGAAAAATTAAACTCTGAAATGTACATTGCCGTCAATCTGGTCAGGACTGTAACTCGATGCATTAACTCAATAGTTAATCAAATTTCCGAACAAGGAAAAACGAAACAACTGACAAGAATGAAAGAACGATTTCCATATTTTGTAAAAAAAAAAAAATTATGTATATTAATTAAAAAAAAGGTGAAGAAGAAATGAAAAGACGCGAAAATTTATCTTCGATCAGATCACGAAAACATCTGTCATCAGAAGTTAGCATCATCCCCAACAAAACTGGACAAATACCTGAAGGCCGAGGGCTTATCAACCACCTCTCCATTGCCCTTGGCCACGAAAATTCTGCGCACAACCTGTGCATAGAGCCTCTCGAGCTGAGGAATTCCATATGCATCTGCACGCTCCACAAATCTCTGCTTTAACAACTCAATTTGGTCAGCCGGAACTTCATGGGACCTGCTCCCAGTGTCATTTTCTGGCTGCTGAATTCCATTTTCTGGCACATTTTCCATTTGACAATCCCCAGAAAGTGGATTTTCGGGTGACCTATCCGTTACATTTTGGACACCATTTTTCTCACTAACTTCGGTAGATGAGACTTGTGGCCTTGTCGTCTCCCCATCTGATGTCCTTGGCCGGTCACCAGGGATTGAATGGACTTCATTTCCTGAAAATTCACAGGTAAAATTTCTTGTTGCTAAAGATTCAGGTAAAAGATGGGGCTCTAAATTTGGTAGAAAAATCAGCTAAAATGTGGAATACTTTCTCTTTACAGAAAATTGGCATTTCACAAACCAGGCTTGATTGGCTAGTAGTTAAAATGTGCATCACTTCATCTAAGTTTGAATGCTGCTGCTGAACGTCACCAAAAAAAGAAAGTCTCCATGGTGTGTGAAATGGGATATCTCACCACTGGGAACGAGGAGAACAAAAACCGGTTTCTCTTTTATGACAGTTCTGTAGAAAACATCCTAACATCAACTTGAAGTCCTGTGGAAAGGAAGGAGTTCTGTGCGCAAGTGCATATGCACAAACGGTTACCATATACGATAAAGATTTTTGGTATACGATGAAGATTTTTGGAAGGTAAATGAAAGTAACAAGGTTCATAAGTTTCCAGGGAAGGCAGAGTCCGCATTGTTGATAAGCTGTCTACGATTATTATTTTCTTAAAGAAAAAGGCTAAACAAAAGGAAAAAGATAAAAGGTGAAGAAAATGGAAATACAACATCACAACCATGATTCCAATGAGTTGCTTAAGAATAAAAGGATTGAAAGCGACACTAATCGTCAAAGCGTTTACAAGAACGGCTTTGGAAGTGTACCATAATCCCCTTGAACACCAACCCATTTCCACTGATCAACTATACCCAGGTGTATGGCCCATGTGGGTTTAGGGTTTAGGGTGTATGCCCCTTCTTGGTTTCACTCCAGTTAATTCGCAACCATCCATTGGAGGGAAGAAATGGTGGAAGTAGTCAACGACAACCAGAGATCATAGTCTATTTGACTACCCGAATTTTTATGCACTACAAAGTGATAATACGATACTGAAAGTATGTCATGCTACATGTAGCACAATGTTCAGTATCCTACACAACATCTGCCATCCTTATCGACAAAGGACGGCTGATGAGAACTGGTGCTCTTCTCATGTACATCAACGTCAAGCAGTGGAATTGGTTCACATCAGCCATGGTTTCTTTACAGTGGATAGCTGATGTTGCAAACAGAAAACTGAACAGTAGGCTACATGTATTGTACCAATGTAACAACGGATACAGAAGAGAGTACTGGATCATAAAAACATACCTGTTTGCTCAGCATCATTACTGCGCTTTTGTCTCTTCAATACCTCATAACTTTGAAAGAGATTCACCTCTGGCTGAACATTACGAAGGCGAGCACTTGCTCTCGTGACATTCACTGCCTGAACAACTGGAGCTGTACAGGCTGCTCCGGAATCTTCTGGAATGCGTAAAGGCCCACCTTGCACCGCGATCTTGTCACAGAATGAGACCAAGGCAGGGTCCATTTGTGATAGCATCCCATGTACCTTTTTAAACAACAATCACAAAAGTGAACAAAAAAGAACAGCAGATTAAAGAATGAAATTCAAAGAAAATATAGTTTTCCTTTTTTTTTGTTTTTCATTGTTTTTTTCCCAGAAAAAGTTTTGTTGTATTGAGTGTGACGCAGTTACATGAAGGGAAAGTCCAACATATTCCGACAGAAAATGAAAACCAATAGCCAAACGGATTCAAGATCATCAGATGAAGTGATGGATGGCCCTTTTATTTTTCTTTTTGTGTGTGTGTGAGAGAGAGAGAGAGAGAGAGAACAGGATATGACCACAATGGAGGATCCCTCTCTCGCTCTGTCACCATCAAATTTAATTGGACGGGGATGATCCCCAATGGTCAATGGGTTTTCAATGGTCCATCAGAATATAGCATGCACTTTTAACTCAATGAAGAACATGAAATATAATAATCAGTATGGCCAAACATGACGAAGAAACATACCGCATCTCTAAGTTCATAAGCTCTGCTGACAATCCTAGTTCCATTATAGTCATCACCATTATAGGCCTGAAAACAAAGGTAAGCAAATACTTCAAGATAGTATTGAGGAAAAAAAATGAATTAAATTTTCCTAGGGAGCCCCAAAAGCTCCAGGAATTGGCCAAAACAAGCCCAACTTCTCCAATATTCCTCAGAAGGTCCTTCATTCGTAATTGAGCTTTAAGATCCTTATTGTGATGACCTCTGGGACAAGTGATCTGTTTGCTAAGAACTATGCAACATCCCCAATAGAAAGATCAAACTGAAATAAAATATATAATTCAAGCATTTTGTACATTTCTATTAAGAGTTGCCAAAAGCTTACATGCTTCCGTGGGTAAAAGATTATATTTAAAGTTGCCAAAAGATTGCAAGCTCCCCTTGGTAAAAACCCTATAAAGGAGTATTTTTAGGACCCAAAATTTTGGTGATTTAACCTCCTCAACCTAATGGCCAACCTCAAAAAAATTTAAAAAACGAAAAAACAATATTAAAGAAAATTATACATGTTTGACATGTGCCTGACAAAGAAAAAAGTCCTAAGATCGAACAGAAACCATCCAGCTTTTGGAAAGTCAGATCTAAGTGTTTAGAAACTCAAAATCCTTTTTTTTCTTTGTTGAAGTTCTTATCTGATGATTTTCAAGTGAATCCAAAACATTTTGATAGAGAGTAAATATAAGTGTGCTCCCACAGGAGCACACTACACACGCTCCTTGGAGTTCTCAAACATTATACAGGTCAGTTTAGAATGATAAAAATGTTATGTAAAAATATGTCCAGTGAATGACATTCGCTTATATAAAAATAGAGGTGCAAAACCTAGGAATCATTCAAGTAACACCGTTTATTTACTTTCTTTATTAAACTTTCAACAGAATTGGCCAAGTTTTCTTCCAACTCGACTGACTCAGACAGGGCGACTCGGATTGGGACCCGAGCAAGTCCAAACCTGAGCCCTAGTTCTAAAATATTGTTTTGCACACACACACACACACACACACACACACAGAGCATAGAAGAAGCACATTAGAGGGTGATCCAAGACAAGGTTCCTCTTATATTTGAATTTTTCTTATTAAATTTTAAGGATGTATTTTTGGAATTTTCTAGGGTTATTTTTTAGGGTTTTGAAGTTTTTAGGGATACATTTCTTGGATTTTAGGAGATGTTTAGAAAAGTGGGTCGAATACTTGTGAAATTCCTTAAAGGTTCAGAAAAAATACTCGTGAAATTCCTTGTTCTATTAGGGGTAAAAATGTCATTACAAAATTTCTTTTAAGTGAAGGAACTTATAGGTTATTTTTAATATGTTTCAACTTAAGTGGGGTAGTTTTGGTTTTTTTTATTATAATATAATAAAAGGGCCTAGAGTGTTAGGGTTTCTAACACTTTTTGGGGCGTGAACAGTTAAAACAGGCGGTGAACAGTAACAACAAGCCCTATCGAGGATTTTAGGGTTACTTTTTTTTTTTGCAATGAAAGCTAGACCGATTCAAATTTGGCATGTTCTGTTGATTTATGGAACTGTTTTGTCTATTTTATGCATTTTCCTGCATCAGAGAGAAAGGGCAAGAACCTTCCAATAAAATCATGATAAAGCACGAATGCAATTGAATACATCGCTAAAAGAAAACGCACTTTTGCATTTGCTAAGACGAGATCCACGTCTTTCTGGAAAGCAGAGCATGTGAGGTAATGGCCACTATCAACACGTTGTAGTAGTGTGGCGATATCCATGGGATTTTGGACAATTGAACGATAGTTAGGGGCATCTTCATCCAAAACTGGATAATGGAACACGCTAAACCTTTTATCATAAAAAATTCTGCACGAGAAAAAGAGATGCTGCATTTTGAGTACAATCTATGGCCAACAGCAAAAATATAAGAACTTTCTTTTTTCTCTGTTTGGTATAAATAATGAGAGAGCATCGTGTAAGAAAGACAATAATATACCATGATTTAATACAAAAAGAATTCTCACAAGAATAGGCATTTCAGGTTTCCAGCTAGTTCATATTGTATATATTGAAGATACATACATACATACACAGGAAGATACTTGCATTAGCCTACCCCCTCTTAAGTTTACCACCCTCAATGCTGCCATCTCTTTCGAATTTGTTGAACCCAGATTTCAGGGATAGCCCTGAAAAAACTAGATGAACAACTTTTAAAAAAAAAAAAAATACACATCTAATCGTCAATCTAACTGTGCCCCAATTTCTCTCTCCTTCGCAAACTATTTTTTTAGGGTTTTTTTCTGTCAATTTTCTTTTCATAGGGACAATCCTTAGGGTCAGTAAGATGCATACGCAAAAAATTACCAAATACACCCAACGTTCGTCCCCAAGTTCTGCTATGGAAAATTAACAAGTTTCATTCAACATTTCATAGATTCGCAGAATTTTATAATATTTTTTTTTTCCAAAGGTGACAACTAAGTTTTCCTTTTGGGTAGGTTAGCGATGGGATGCAAGCCTGGGACATTGTCCTGCAACTGTGAGCATCTTACGTCCAGTCTAACCACAACACGTGTCTCATGGGATGGAGTCGCATGGTGACCAGTGATGACACTATGTACTCTTCACAAAGCAAAAAAAAAAGCTCGAGCAAGTTCCATCTTGATTTATTTAGAAGCAAAATGATTGGCCTACCACATGGGACAAAACTAGGACGAAATATTACGTTTTGTTTTTTAGAAAAGGTTAACTAGGACGAGATATTACGTTTATACCTACAAAAACAATTTTACTTAAAAAGATACAACTGTATGGACATGTTGGGCTGATTACAGTTTGGGCTGACGAACTAGACACCTGTAGTATGTGTTGGAGACTGACATTCGTGTTGGTGTCCATATAGCACTCATACATTAAGTTAGGTGCCCAAAGCCACACCAAGTTTCAAATTCTCTTTTTCTTAAGTTTGTGACAAGTTTCAAATTCATCTTAGGAACAACATACCCTCAACTAGGTCAGAATCAAATATCATTTATCCCAAGAAATATTATCTTATCACTCACAAGAATCGATATATTTTTGCAGGGGAAGATACCCTTCATTCTATGATTGCAGAAGGGCAAAAGTCGACAGTACTTTTCTGAACCAAATTGACCAAATACCCTGTTTTGAGAGATGAAGAAATTCCCTCAAAGGAACTGATTAATAAACCTTTCCAAATGCAGATAATAAAAGCATGCATCAGCTTGTGTACCAATGCATACTGTTTTTTTTTTTTTAATAAATGTGTACCAATTCATACTTGTCAGCCATTTCTTTTGACATAGGACTAGACACTTTAATTTTCCTTTTTTTATTCTTTTTTTTTGGGGGAGGGTGGGGGGGCAGGGGGGGATCTATAGAACAAGACAACTCTTAGACATTGTAATTGATGTAGCATAACATAAAATAGCAAAGAAGACCACTGCATGGTTACCTGTTGCAAACATCTCTAAGGCACATCCGGAGACGCCGTAAGGCATGCTCCTCTGCTTCTGCCTTTGCCTTCACCTCTGATAACTTTGGGCCAGTGACCTCCTTTGGTGCCTTGGGCAGCTCTGGAAGTGAAGATGTCTTTTGGGATCCGCTTGAGGCCTCTTCATCTAAGATAGAGAAAGCAGCTTCAACCAATCGACCAAAAAACATAAGTTTGTCATCTGATGTGGGTTTCTCCACTTGATAACTGTTAAAGCCAAAAACGAAAAGTCAGAATACATGTCTAAACAATCAAAAGAAACACTGGAACAAGGATATTTAGGATGAGAGTGCTCATAGGTGACACATTTACAGACAGAAATAACAAGGGGAAAAAAATCTAAATTTTACTTTATGTTTTTCTTCCAGAAGTTTGAAATTGCTCCATAGAATGCATCTATGTTTTTTATGTGCTTACAGTGAGCATCAATACCAAATAATTCTCCCCTATATCTTGTCAAATCAAGCGTAGAAATTCAACGCAGGCAGGTACTCAGACTCGAACTTCCCAAATACCCTTACACCTCATCTTAAAACTTATATAACACCAATATCTTCATCATCTCCCATTTTTTGTTCTAGATCTCCTTCACCTCAACCTTTTTGCCGCAGCCAAACTACTTTATTATCAAGTAATCCCTTGCTCCAACCTACCTTGCTTCCAACATACTCCCGAACTCTCATTATCACTGATGCGATGACTCATCTTGGTTATACCTAGACAGTTGTTACCACCAACACCCTCCCAAGTGATCTGCAACAGCCTCTCCACTCTAGCTCCTACTTTTTTTCACTTCATCTAAGTGCTAATTTCTCTCATTTCATTATCCAGTACCAACTCAACCACCTATCAGTCTCAGCCATGGTAGCCTCATCCCATGTACTGACTGTCTGAACACGTTGAATCAAGCCATGGTAGCTTCATCCCATGTCCTGACTATCTGAACACATTGAATCAAGCTTTAAGGCCCCTCAGTTTGTTGAGGTATAGCTTTGTAATGCAAGCTGGATAATTGGTAATCCCAACCAAAAATTCAAGAACTAATTCAACAGCCAATAGTAGACTTGTCAACTGATAGCATAATCATAGAATGAAACTTTTAGATTGGTTATAGTGTTAAGAAATCGCCATGTGTGATTTGAATAAGATGCACGAACAACAATATGTGCATCCCCAATGCACTTATGCAACTTGACATAACCTTCTTTAAATATTATCTATATAGAGAGAGAGAGGGAGAAGCGCTGAGAGACAGACAGAGCATCCCTGGGAAGTGGGTTTCAGTGAATGGTTTATAATTAAATCCTAAACCTATTTAAAGATTGCTAAGACTGAAAAGATCACGGATATTTGCCATGAATAAATATGGAGTCAATGGATAACGCTTTTCTGTGGAACAAATCAAAGAATAGTATTTTGTTCAAGAAACCAAATGTTATAGTTACCCAGAGCATAAACTTCCTACAAGGACTATCCATCCTTGGAGGAAAGCATGATTTTTCAAAAGGAAAAAGAACTTTCTTAAATTACAGTGAAGAAGAAAGATGGAGTACATACACATTACGGTGAGCAAACACTGATGTTGACTCTCCATCTAATTCAGCTAATGGTGAAGCAGATGTCCCAAGTAGCAACATAGGAAAATCTGATGGTAGATCTTCCAGAAGAGCCAACAAAACTGCCTTCAGTTGCTCATGTGCCTGAAATTTCAAATTTCAACACGTAAGATTTTCTTCTTCTTTTTTTCTTTTTCTTTTTGTTCTGAACATGCTTACAGTCAACAGCTAAGATTGCTCATATTCAACATTCTGAAGTACATTTTTGAGGCTGGGTCCAGTACTAAAACATTAACTCTGTATGAATCAAAGAACCTACAAACTGCAACTACTTACGTTCTCCCACCAAAGCTGGAATTGAGGCAAATATAGTATTGAAGGAGTTGTTCTCCTCGCTTCACCAAAGATGTGCACTAATGCTTCCTCTGGTATTTTTGCACTAGGATCAGAGAGGAGAGCAGGAAGCCCCAAAGAATGCACAGGGAACTTTTCCAGTTCATGTAGAACTGCAGGCCCAATATGGTCCTGATAAACTAAAGGGGTAAGTAACAATTCAGATTGCAGCACTTATGATGATAATGTATCAATATCTGTACATCTAAAAGGAACCAAGACAATTACCAGGCCAGCACCTTCATCTCCACAGAGCAAAAGCCGAGGCCGGTAAACAAGAGGCATAGCTGAACCATAAGAAAACCCAGATAGCTTGCTAACTTCTAGAGATCCTAGGGACGGAAAGATATCTGAAATGTGATCCATAATTTTAAGAAGATGTCTCTGCAAACATGGTGCAACAACAGGAGACAATGGCCTAGAATGGACAATAGATCCTCGATGAGCAGCTGGTGTAATGGTGGACATGGCTTCAAGAAAATGGTATTTTTCAACCCGGACTGAGTCAACATCTATCACAAACTTGTCGTCACTGGTATATACTTGAGGATATTTTTCACGGAAGGCCCGGATTGCAGCTTCAGTACACAGAGCTTTTAAATCAGCTCCACAGTACCCCACACAACTAGCTGCAAGTTCCATTTTTAGTTCTTTTGAAGGGGGCTCCTTCCATTTTCTCGTATGAATATCTAATATTTCGGCACGTGCCTGGCAGCCAGGTAAAGGGAAATTGAACTCGCGATCGAAACGACCAGGCCGTCTCAGTGCCCCATCAATGGCATCAATCCTATTGGTGGCTCCAATCAAGACAACTTGTCCTCTAGAGTCAAGGCCGTCCATAAGAGCAAGAAGGGTTGAGACAATAGAGTTGTGTATCTGTTCTTGCTTGCTAGACCTCACAGGAGCGAGCCCATCTATCTCATCAAAAAAAATAATGGAAGGCTGATTTCTTTGGGCTTCTTCGAACAGCATTTTCAGTTGTCTCTCCGCCTCACCAACCCATTTACTGAGCACATCAGCTCCTTTTCGCATGTAAAAGCTAACCTTCTGACCAGCCTTTGATGCAGCACAAGCCAATGCTCTTGCAATCAGAGTTTTCCCTGTTCCAGGAGGACCACACAACAAGACACCCCTTGGGGGAGTGATGTTATAGTTCGCAAAGAAATCAGGATAGAGGAGAGGGAAAAACACCATCTCTTTCAAAGCATCAATGTACTCTGATAGACCTCCTATGTCATTGAAACTTACATTCTCGTCAACTTGTAGAGGCTGGATATCTGCTCCTCCTTTGGAACTTGGACCAGCAGTTTGGACCCCTGGTGTAAGTGCACCAAAAGAGTCACTCTGGTGTCCCCACCCTGAAGCAGCAACATTCAAGCCCCATGCAGTGCTACCAGGCATGTCCATTCCTCCGAAAAGCCATGGTGCTCCACCTCTATTACCTGCTCTCATCCATGGAATTCCTGGTCCTTGATCTAACTCATCAACAAGAAGAGAATCATCCGAATCTTCCATTCTCGATAAGCGATGCCTCTTATGAACTCGAGAACCACCCTTTCTCACATCCTTTCCGGTCTTCATACCCATCCCCTGATGCAAAACTCTTCGTGGTGATCTTGGCCTCTGCTTCTCTTTATCGAGAGAGAGCCTACGGACCTCTGAGCGATTTCGGAGATCATATCTCCTCCTTCCATCTTGTTCTTCTTCTTCACCCTCTTCGTCTTCCCCATCTTCCTCTCTATCTTCCCCACCATTCCCCTCAACTTCATCACCTCCATCCCCCTCACCTTCATCTACACCATCCCCCTCAACCTCATCCCCGTTTTCCATTTCATCTTGGTCAGCTCTTTCTTCTGAGGATTCCTGATCATCCTCTGATTCTTGGAATAATTGTTCTCTTGCTGCCGTTGTCGACCTACGTGGCCTTAGGCCTTCACGGCGAGGCAAATATTTGTTTACAGGGCTCTTTTTGCGTCTTGGTGGGGTTGAGAAATCATCGTGACTAGCATTGTTTTCAGGTGGTTTTCTTTTAGAAGGACGATATCTTGGCCTCTGCAACAACAAAATTATGTTATAATTACATGATATTGAACTTAGATAAATTGGATGGAAGCACGAGACATAAGAAGGTTCAAGCTCTTATGAAACCAAGCCTGTAACTAACCTCCAGATATATTTCATTCTTGGGAGAGGATAAAATCTCACCATTAAGTCATCATCCTCGGTCTCAGAGTTGTCTGTTTCATAATCTTCAAGATTGATAGAAATTTTCCTCTTTCTAGTAGAACGGCGAAGATTGGTTGTGACAGACTACCAAGGAAAGATGATATTTATTTTCATCAGTAAATCTAGCAGAAACTATTTACTCCAAGAGAACAATAATCAAGAATGAAACATAATCACTTATTTTCCTTTTTCTGATCAATATCAAGAACAAAGCATAATTGTTTGTTTCAAACAGTGTCCCAAACAGAAGCAGCAGAAGACAAATGAAATTAAATTTGTAAGGGCAAGAAATACAGGCAACATTAACATGAGAATTTCCACAAACTTCACAAACATATTTTTAGCAAGGGCAACTTCATAAATGAATAAAATATACGATGATACATCGTATCATTTCTGATTTTTTCAGCAGGTAGATCACCGAATAAGCATCGCGAAATGATTAATTTTACTAAGAACGCAAATTCAATCAATATCTCATGCACGAAGCGTATAAAATGACATAGAATTGTCGAATAGGGTGTGTCGCAAAAACTTCAGGAGATCAGATGGAATGCAGTGACAACTTCATAGTGTAAAGAGAGAAACAACAAATGGATCCTATCACCTGTAGAAGCTCTAAAGATGAGCAGTAATGAAAGCACAAACAGGAATTTGTTCATAGAGGAGAGTTATTAAGCACGAAACAAATATTTAATGTTGCTATCTGGAACCTTGAATGAACTTTACTCATGAACTGGATGTTGGCAATGCACCAAAGAGTGTGTATCAATGATGCACTGATCATTAAGAATCTGTCACCTCAATATTGAGAGAGAGGATCTTTACACCATTACATTAACAATGGGAAAGTAGTATACAATGTGTACACACCTGATGGGCTTTTCCTGAGATCTCAAATTCTATTATGAAGAATCTTAACGGAATGTTATTTGGTATAGGAAACTTTTGGTAAATAATCTGGCAAACCTCATGGAGTCTGAGGATTTGATTGATGCTTGGAAGTTTGAATAGCTCAATTGACAAATGAGTAGTAGTTGGTCTTGGGGCAGGGGGAAGCAATGGCCCCTACCAGTTTAATTATGCACATCGTAACAATTTAAATAATTTATTTGTTATTAACAGAAATTAAGCTTTGTGACCTTTCAAGTTAGTAAAACCTATCACCATCATCAAATTCCAAAGTATTGAATAGAATGAATGCCTTAGCACCCTAAAGTGTTTCTTCTTTCAACTTCTATGAAATGCCACTAAGGAAACGACATAGCAGCTGTCACAACCCACAATATGGAAGTGATACATATGTTTCATATCACTTCTATTTTCTCTTTCAACTTTTAAAAAGAAAGAAAAATACATAAAGTGATAGAGATGAATCCAATGGATTAAAATTTAAAAATAAAAATAAAAGCTCTGTTTGTGTTTTGTATCCTACTCAAAAACATATATCATAACTGCATGTATATGTCCCTTTATTTTCTCAATCTTTCCAAGAAAATGATAAAGGAGAGAAATTAAACATACATTGGAAGTGGGAGGACGCCTCCGCCTATGCCCAGGCTGCAACATCTTGGCAATCTGAGAAGCCGCTGTTCTCTTTTTACTTTTATTCTTCTTTTGAATTGGTTGCTTATAGTAAAAATATGTATGGCTCAATAGCTTTGGCCTCGACCTGAGCCTATTACTCATGCGTATAGGCCTCGCCCCAGTTGAATCCATTGATTAAATGAAAATGGGTATGTTCCTCTTTATTGCTTAAGTTCACTTCGATGAAGATAAAACAACATCTAGCACAATAGCAGCCCAGACAATCTGTGAAAACAATGAATAATGAAGCTTCTCTATAACTAAAGCATGATTACATTCGAAAGAATGGTTAGTATCTAATAAAGCCAATACTTTAGTGAACTCGATGCAATACACCCCACCATAATTGAAAAATTCAATAAAGCCATCAAACCAATAAAAATCCTCGACAGAAAATACCGGAAACAATAACCGAAATCAGAACAACCAAAATAGACAGAAGAAACAATAAAAAATTCGATAAAATTTCCAAGAGAAAAACATTCAGAAAAAAGAAACTCTAAAACTCCAGTATTTACACTGACAGTCATAGACAGTAAGCCAAAACAATTCTCCCAAACAAACACAAAAAATAAATTCCGCCTCGACAATTCATGAATAAAAAAAGTACAAAGCATCAAGCCCTCCATGCAAGCAATCAAATAAACCTTAATTTTTCCATATATTCACTTCCTAAGCCCATGCAACATTGTGTTTTGCGATTTCACAGTCAAACCAAAAGGCATGGCAATACCAAGAACAAATATCGGCCAACAATGAAGAAACTAAACCCTAGATTCTCATTTTTCATCATCCTAATGCAATACTGCGCGAATTTACATTATTTTTCACGATTTTACAGTCAAATGAAAGGTATTGAGCAATACCGAGTGAATCTATGCGAAAAAATGTAGAAAAAGAATAGTAGTAGTACCAACCTTTAAGTGTAGAAAGCGATTAGAACAGGTGTTTAGAGAGAGAAACAAGCTGAGTTGTTGATTTCAGCTGAAAAAAAGGGAATAATGGCGAGAATTGTAGAGAGAAAGAAGAGAGAGCAAAAGTTCGTTTCTGCAATGTTCAGGGAGGAACTCTTTATAGCGGAAAATCAAAACCGTAAAAAAGAAAAAAGAAAATGCAAAAAAGAGAGAAAATCTTTGTTTTTAATGACGAAAAAGTCCATATTATGCCACAATTTGATAAAAGAGAAGGCCTGAAAATGCCTTTTAATTACAAAGACGTCCTCTTGCTTAAAAAATGACTATTTTACCCCCTGAGGGAGGGGATGGAATTAGGAAATCTCCAAATTATAGGCATCTTGTTTATAAGACTTGGGCTGGTTTATTATTTTAGCACAGGAAAGAAATACAATCAAGGTGGTCGCTTGATCATTGGATGTGAAACTAAGTGGCTATAATGAGATTATTTTTCTTTTATATATGGTGGTCACAAATTTCTAACCTTTTGATGTGAAATTTGATAGTTTGGATATGTCACAAAGTTCGAAAAAATTCTTTTTGAAGTTTGAGCTTGGTCAATGAAATTATTGCAGCCACCCAACTTTACATCTAATGATCAATATTATTGTGACCATCTTGTATAAAAGGTAAATTGTTTCATTCTGTACTTTCCTGTAAAGCAAATATTTACAAAGAGACCATATATCTTTTATACATGGAGGTTCCAATCATTTTTGTCCCTTAAATTTTAAAATGAGTGGTTATAAGAGTTTCATTGAATAGACACAAAGTTCCAAAAAAAAATATCATACTTCATTACTCACCCAAACTATCCAATTTAACATCTAATGAGTGGGAATATTTGTGTCTTTCATGTACAAAAGATAAATAGTCTCTTTGTACACAATCCCTTGTGCATGTGCCGGTACATAATAAGAGTGTGTACATTATGTTCCCATGGGAGCAAATTGTTCATTTGCCCCATCTAGTAAAAAATGTACATGGAAATTTCTTTTGGATCTAAAAATTTGGGATCCATTTAAATATCCCTAGATTATTATTTTCACCAAAAAAAAAAATTGGATATTAGCTCTTTGAGACTTCGATCTTGCTGTCCAAAAATTGGATCGTATTTGTGAAGAGCATTGGGACATGTTTCTTTTAGGCCCATAAGGTGTATGTTTAAATAAGCCTTTTGAATGGGTATCTAGGCAGTAGTAGAGGATACATCTCCAAAGTTGGGGTCCTAAAAATATCCATAGCTTGATTTTTACCAAAGGGAGTAAATGGACAATTTGCTCCCACAAGAGCACAAAATCATTGGCAACAATAATGTCACGCTCAGATATGCAAGTTTAAGAACTTAAAATCTACTTTTTATTTTTTTTCTAAAAATGTTCATTTGGCAATTCTTATGTGGATCCCAAATTTTCTTGATTAAAAGTATACTGCTAAGTAGCTCTTTTGCCTAAGAGAGTTAGTGCACAGTAGTCCAACGAGACCATAGGACACGATGGTCCATGCTATACTATAATATCATGATGTATGAGACATTACTCGTTAATTATCCCTTTTAGGCATTTAGTGCTCTAGTTGGTACTCCCACAAGCCCAGCTTAGCTTGAATTCAGCCCAATTTTTATTTGTTGGGCCCCCGATCTGTGCCTAAACTAAGTAACAAGTTTGTCTCGAGCTCAACATGAATGATTTATTGAGGCTTGAGCCCGAGCCAGAACCAGCCGAATCTCTCTCTGCATGCGAATTAAATCTACTTGTTAATTGAACCTTTCAAGCCTCTCTCCCTCTCAATGTACATTAGCAGTAGTTAGCTGTCAAATAAAAATGTATCTAATCACACCCAAAAGTTCAACTATTTGACATTTCATCATGGGTATGATTTCGATAAAATTAAAAACACCAAAATGATGTAGCATTTGATGGGGTATTTGAAATTTGATCAAAAGAACAACAAAATGCTTAAAATTAGATCAAAAGATATTAGTGAAATGTTAAAAAATTATGATTTGATAAATTTGCATCTGTGAAATTGCACCTTGATTCACTGCCAATGCTTGGACTAAGTCCACAATTGCTGTCTTCCTTATAATTTGGACTAATTTTTTGTTAGGGCTTTACCATTAAAAACCCAATATTTCTCTCGCAAATTCCACATAAAATGCAAATTTCTATGCAGGGATAGATTTTGTGGGATCCAAATCTTGAGCCTAAACTTGTGGTAAATGCAAATCCTCATCTTTTATACAAAAATGCTACAATCACCCTTAATTGTTAGATATGTAATAAAATAGTTTAAAATATACAATTGAGAGCACACGGAAGTTCAATGAACTTTTGTTCCTCAAACTTCGTGCAAAGAAACCCCACACCTCCGGAAGTTCAATGAATTTTTGTTCCTCAAACTTCGTGCAGAAAAACCCCACACCTCCTGCTGCCCAAATTCAAATATGACAGCTAAAGATCACTGCAAGCTTTTTTTTTCTTCTAAAGTTGAATTCTTCAGAAATAAGGTTCCAACGCAATATTCATATGTCCAAGTAATGGTGTCCTCATGAGCATTGCCCCATATGAAAATCTATGCACATTTAGAGGGAGAAAGTTACAAAGCATGTGTTTTAAAGTGAGGGCTTGCATCTTAATGTGCATGTCCCAAATAAAACATAAAAAGCATGCACATGCAGAGGTGGGAAGAGGGAAAGTGGAGAGAGAGAACAGTGAAGGCACATAACTGGCAAAAAAAAACACATTCAATAGCATGCATAAGTGGAGCTAGAAAGAGAGGGAAGAAGGCCCATCCTGTAATCCTGAACAAGACATCCAATAGTATGCGTATCCATGCAGGAGTGGGGAGAGAGAGAGAGATCACTGGCAAGGCCAATGATTAGGGGTTGCAATGAACCCAGACCGACTTGGGACCCGAGGGGTAGACCCGATCCAGGTCCGGGTATCGGTCCAAAACTTGAACCCAGCAGGTCGGGTCCGAGTCCAAATCTTGGACACAACTCTATTCAGGTTCGGTAATATTTTTTGGGTCCAAGTTCGGGTCCTAGTATATAAAATATATTCAAATGTAGTTAAGTACATAGATATTTTAATTTTTGGGGTCGGGTCCAATCAGGTCCAATCGGGTTCAGGTCAAGACCAACCAGACCCGACACGTTGCCACCCTATTAATAGTCACTAGAGAGAGAAACAATTGAGGGACAAGGCAGATGAATAGAGCGAAAAACAATTAACTGGCAAGCCCAATAGTCACAAGAGTAAAGAGAGAAACAGATGACTGGCAAGGCCAATAGTCAGAGGAAAGAAAGAAGAGGGATAGAGAGAGAAACAAACATAGAGAGCATTATCCAAACAACACATCCAATGGCATGTATATGCATGCACAAATGGAGAGAGAGAGAGAGAGAGAGAGAGAGAGGAGGAGAGAGCTACGAAGATACAACGAGCGAGTCGACCGTAACGTACACAACACCAACCAAACCCAACTAACGTAGAACGCCGCCC